GCGGAGGAAGCTCAAGGGCACGCCGAGCTCACCTCTCACTCCAACTTCTCCGAGTCCACCGAGGTTGTCCTCAATCTCGTCTGCAGCTCCTGCGGGAAGCCCTACCGATCCAAGACGGTACGCCGAATCCCCGCCTTTTGTGGCGTTCTGATATGTTGCGCTGGCCATTGATTTGGTTTCTAAGCGACGGCGAGGTTGGCCTCGCCAGCGACCGGTGGGGCCGAGCCTCGCCCAGCGACGGCGAGGTTGGCTGGGTGGGGCCGAGCCTCGCCAGCGACGGCGAGGATGACCCCTCACCGGCAACTGGCGAGGTCGAACCTTGCCAGGGGTGGACAAGTCCGACCTCGCCATTTGCCGGCAAGGTCGGCCTCGCCCAGCAACAGCGAGGTTGGCCTCGCCAGCGGCCGGCGGGGCCGACCTCGTCGACCCTCGTCTCTAGCTAGTCGTCGGACCGGCAACCGGCCATAGGTTGAAGATAAAGAAGATGAAGGAAAAAAAAAAGGAAAGGAAAAAGAAAAGAAAAGAAAAAATAAAAAAAATCGAAAAAATAAAAAATAATATTAAAAAATTAGGTCGGGGTAAAATTGTCGCAGGTGTACCAGTTTGGGATTTTTGGTAGTCAAAAAAATAGTTCGGGGTAAAATTGTCACAGGTGTACCAATTTGGGGTTTTTTGTGGTAAAAAAAATAGTTTGGGATAAATTTGTCACAAGTGTACTAGTTTAGGGTTTTTCGTGGTATTAACCCAAAAATTAATTTGGAGTAAATTCATCACAGGTGTACCAATTTAGGGTTTTAACCCTTATTTATTTTGAAAAAAAAGCATCATATAAGTTGTTAACAACAATCTTGTGGTTTGCATTCAACATGCAATCTCCACAAATTTTACATTCGCCGCTAAGAGAAACAAACACCAGTGATCATTGATAATCAAACCAAAGAAATTATGCTTTTAATTTAATCAATAAGATCCAGAATACGTTGTTTTAGCATTTGAGGAGTAGAGCTTTTAGTCTACAAAACCAAAATATTAGATTGATTGAATATTCTGTGACAAATTTTAATACCCTCTTCATTGAAGGGTAAATTGATTATTCAATTTAATTAACGCTTTTAAATAGTTGATAGATCAGCAACTAAATAATAAAAGGTCTAAAAAAGCAACATTACCAAATATTCTAAATTTATCAAAATATCCTCATATTTTATAATGATCACATATCAAAATTTAATGCAAATTTCTATCTTTTGTCGCCTTCTCTATACCACACCCCACAATGTATTCCTTGGGGAAAATTTTCAAAAAAATCTTAAACCTATTATACAACAGCCAATTCAGTCCTAAAGATTATTTAATTTGGCCAATTTAGTCCTAAACACTTTAATGATTTGTCAATTTGGACATCCTAATCAATTTTGGCCGGAAATTGCTAACACAAGGGTCCAGTCAATGTCAACTATTCTACGCGGCATGGCCAACTGACGTGGATAATTTTTGCAATTTTTTAAATTTTCTCAATTTTTTTCTCATTTTCATTTCCTTCTCTTTCTTTTTTCCCCCGTCGATTGCCAACCATAGGTGAGGCCTAGCGAAGGCATTGGCCACAGGCGAGGGCTGTCCTCGTCTATGACCCTCGCCTGTGGCCAAAGACTTGCAAAGGGAAAATGAAAAAACGAAAAAATAGAAAAAAAGTAATAACAAATTCGAAAAATTTAAAAGAAATCGTAAAAATCATCCACGTTAGCAAGTTCCGGCCAATTTTGGCTGGAAAGATTAAATTGGCAAATCGTCAAAAGGTTTAAGACTAAATTAGCCAAATTGCAAAATATCTAGGATCGAATTGGTCATCATACAACAAAGTTATGACTTTTTGAATAATTATCTAGCATCCTTTGTCATAAATTGTTATTGTCGACTTTGGTAAAATCACCAACGACCACCACCACCTCTCGCATTGCTCTCTCTCTCTCTCTCTCTCTCTCTCTCTCTCTCTCTAAGCGTGCATATGCGAGTGCGTGTATGCAAGTCTATGTGCATGTATATTGAGGTCTAAACTTCGATGATCTTTTGACAAAAAAAAAAGAAATTTCGATATCTCAATGACCTCGTAACTACTTGAATATAACTCTATTTCCTTTGAAAATTTGACACAAATCTTTGTTAGGAATGAGGGGTCATTGGGAGTGATGACTTTTTTCTATGGTTGGGTAGTTGAGAATTGTTAAAAGGACCCATCTGGGATTGATTTGACGATAAGGACATTTCCATACTTTTGACTCGGGAATCAATAATTGTGGATGCAATTCCTACTCCAGGAAACCCAAATTTAAGTGGAGACCATATTGGTTAGTTGCGGTCGTATCCTTGGATTTTCCCAAAAAAAGAAAAGAAAATAAGAGAAGAGAATGATTAAAAAGATATGTATAAATTTTGATTCAAAGACCTACCCTTTTTTTAGCTAAAGACCTCCCTAAAATCAAAGGTCTTAGGACCATCCATCTATCGACCCCATTTCATTCGCACATGCGTACACAGAATTTGACGATCCAAAAGTTCAAAATCAAGGAAGAAACCGACGAAATTTCGTGGAGTACCACTTGTACCATTATCTCTACTCGAAAGAGCCAAAAACAGTCCCAAACTGATGTAAGACTCGTGAAAGCATGCGTGCAATTACTACAATAGGGCACGTCAAGGTGGACATTGGCGGGAATTTCTTTATCTTACATGTGGAGTACATGGTGAAGTCAATGGCACGCTCGATACACATCGAAAGTCAACTTGCAAAGTAAGACCAAAATGGAACTTAATACCTTCGTCATCACCCATTCAACAGACTCAACTGTCTGACTGGCTCCCGCCGCGTTGATCCTGGATCGTAGCCACTCATTGCACGAGCAAGAAGATGATGATAAGAGATAATATGAGAGAGAGAGAGAGAGAGAGAGATCCATTCTAAATCCCCCTCTTACCAGTCTGTGCGATGGGACTTGAGAGTGACAGACTCGCCCACAACTTTCACCATCAACCCAAGTGAAGACTCGCCCACAACTTTTCACCATCAACCCAAGTGAAGACTTCGATCGAACAAAAAAAACCCTAGTGAAGACAAATCTCGAGAATGATATGATCGTGACTTCTCTTTTTATTATTATTTTCTTGATGATTTTGGTGCCGACTGAGATATGAGTGCGACTAAGGTGAAATGACGGCGGCGTTTTGTACCATTTTGTAGTTTTTTATTTATTTATTTTCATGTTCGTTCCTGCTTTGATCAGCCATTAAAAATAAACACTGAGAACTTCTACGTCTTGAGTTCAAGTATCCGAAAATACAATCTGGGAATGGGTCGGCTGCATTGTATTCATCTTAATTTGAAGACAGTGAAATGAGAACAATCTATTTTCATCAGCTTTCAATGGTGACGAGATCATCACCCTCTCCACGTGATTTGCTTGACTAGGGATGTTCCCGTAGCATTTGAAGAGCGAGAAAGACTATTAACATTGACATCGAGAATTTGGATACATCAATTTCAAGAAAGGCTTATCCCATCATAATCTTTTTCGATATTGCATTTCTCTCCCTAAAGCACATTATCCACTTCGACGTACAATGTCCACATCTCCGAAAAGCTCGACGACGAGCTTTTTTATCTTTATAGTTCAATCGGTAAAAGCCGTTTCGAGCTAAGAAGCACCCGTCAAGAGATTATCGGCCCGATGGCGCCTCTATTTTTGGGGAAAGGAAAGAAAGTTTGGGAATTCGAATCTCCAGTCTCATATTTTCGCTGTGAAAAAAAAAAGGGAGAAACTTATAGAGATGCCGTCGATAAAAGTCAAAAGAAATGACAAGCCCAAATTGCAAACGAGGCAAAGTAAATTGGGCCAAAAGAGAATTGGTAGGATGGTTTGATTGATGAGAAACTGTCAAATTCGTGTGTGGCTGAGAAGCATTCAGTCTCCAATGCATCCATTGGCTCCCCCAAAGAGTGGGGGACCTAAAGAGATTGAATTCCAAAGAAATTAGCTGTTTAAGAGTCACCAACCCTGGACCAAAGTTTCAGAATGTTCAGGTGAACAACGACGGACTCCCACGTGGAGGCCCATCGAAATCCGAGGCCCAATCCCATCCCCACCAGCCATGAAGACCCATCCACCCATCCCTAGCTCACGCAAGTGCCGACCCGTGACCCACGGCGCCACGTGGCGGGCTCCCACGGCACGTTGGACCATGCTAGAATCGTAAATTGATCCATAGCATTAGGGGAGAGAGTTAGAGAGATTACAGTTGTACTGCTTTTGATCATTTTCGTACCAGGGTGGTCCATTGGGGGGGGGGGGGGGGAGGAGCGGGTGGGGTTCCTTGAAGATTAATAACAATGGTTGGTCCCAAAAGATGTTGGGGAGAGACTTTTGTAATGTATTGGTGATTTTGGAAGTGGTTTTGGGCCCTACCCATGTGAATTCCTCATGGGATTGTGGAAAAAATGTGTCTTGTTTTCGAATTTTGACCTTTAGATGCTTGAGAAATCGAGCACTTATTGGGTTTTCAAGAGTCAAATTTTAGCTGCCCCAATCAATGTGGCAACCAAGGACAACGTACATGAGCCGAAACAGATAGAGATATTCCTTTGCAGCATCCCATTATAGAGCTCAGCGATGTCGCCTTTCTTAATGTTGAAGATCTGTGATTGTGAAATCTAGCGATTCAAGTCGGCACGATTCATATACGTGGTATTCAATCTCCCTAGCGTAAGAGCTTGCTGCAATCATCTCTCTATCACGGGCGGGTGACCATGTTCGACTGCGTATAATACAGGAAGCTGTAACGAAACAAAACCACAACAAAATTCTCATTGAAACCTTTCAGTGTGTGCTTTAAATTTTGTACAACAAAGTCAAGGTGGAGAGTGCAATTTCTCAACCACCAAACAAATGAATGGTGAAAATACAAAAAGAAAAAAAAAACACAAAGAACCTAAAACAAACTCAATCAAAAACTATAACCCTGCCGTTTTCCAACTATGCATATTTTACAAGTAGGATGTAATTAATAAATGAATAAATAACATGTCGGCAGGGTATGATGTAGGGCAAAAATTAGACGCCCCAAAGTAGATAAGGAACAAAAAAATTTACAAATCGTCATTGCTTTGCCAAACATTTGAATTCGAAATCGCGACAGATGCTGAGGAGAACCGGGGATTAACGCCATGTCGAGCCTTACAGGTGCAAAAATTGGAAGGCTGGGTTTTCAAGGAGCTCCTCCGCAGGCACCACGTCTTCAAAATCCTTCTCTTGGAGCGAATTGGAAAGTTCATCAACCGAGAAAGGAATGCTGCGTTCCGATGAATTAATTAGTCAACCACGGCAATGGCTTATTGAGAAAGCAGAAATAAAAGGATTCGTCACTGTTGAAGGAGGCGTGTATTCTAAGTTCCTAATGAGGGAACAGAGATGAGGCTATCGTTTCTTTGACTTTCTTTAACCTTATAACTAAACTTACATAATATCTCGCATCATCTAAGGGTCCTTAAGATTAATTTCTTAAACTTATAGAAATAAGAATAGATTGTGCTGAAGTCAATCTCACCTAGAATTATCATCCAACAAAAATGAACTGCTCACAGCACTGTTGGAATCTTCTGTCATCAGTACCCTCATGCTGGATATTACCTGTACGACACATTAGGTGATTCTTGGATTTGGATAAAGAACTATAACAGGCGACTTGAAATGTAACCCATTGCAATAGTACTTACTTCAGGAGACACGCTTTTGGTATTGTAGCTATCATCCCAGTAAAGTGTACATATTCTGTACAGCTGCTGTACACTCAGCATCTGAACAAGCAGCGAGCCAACAGAATTTAAGAGAGAGATCGAGTGAGAGTGTGCACTATCTATTTGCAAAACCCCGCAAAGAAGACAAGGAACATCAGCCAGAGATGCAAGATACACAAGAGACACAAGTAGTTTTGCAGGTTTTGGAATTCATATATTGACTCTAATCAAGGCAAACAAAGTTTTTCCGGTTATTTGCCATAAATTCGCCTTAGAAGTAACCGATAATTTCAAAGAAGCACTTGCTCACAACGCGCACCGGGGGAGGGGGGAGGGGGGAGGAGGGGGTGTTGAGAGAGTTACCGGGCATAGATCATTGGTGATTTCATCATAAGAAATCCTGTACTTCTGATGTATAACCTGTGGATAAAGTCGCATTGCAGGCAAATAATTAGATGAGAAAGTGGCAGATTAGTACTCCAAAGAATAGCATGATTTATAAGTAGTACGGACATCTAGATAACACAGCCAATCCATGGATGACAAAATACCTACCAGAGATTCTCCTTGCCGCATCATTAATAATTATTTTATCACTCAACAAGAATGGAAGATATAAGCAGACATGCATAAACTGGTAATGGACAGTTAAAAAAACAACAGTTCTGCAGTCTCAACAGAAAAGCAAGTCCAAGTATGGTTTAGGCATTTTGTGATTAAAATTTTTTTAACCTAAACCCAAAACAGCAAGCATGCCTTATCGACAGAAAGTTAACAACACAACCCAAAAGGAAGGACAATAACATGGATCGTATAAAAACAATGTGCTTTCGGAGAGATTGAAAGTTACCAAGAATCCCACAGCCTGTCTAATGTGTTTAAGTTCTTCCCAGGACGGGCCTGCGTACTGCAATCAGTGATATCCAACTGTAATTAGTAAGTTTACACAAAAGGAGAACTCCACACACAGGACAATGTAATTGTTTCATTGTAAAATAAAATTAAAAAAGATAATGGTACACAATTACCTCTTCTTTTGCTTGGCAGCACCACAACTCCAACTCAGCCAATCCAGCTTTGACATATTCTCCGTTGCTAAAAGTACAACACTCACGGCGTAGAAGAAGACTGAAATTTCATAGTCCAAGTACACTGATCAGGACCCCCTGATCTCCCAATAATTCAATGGAAATAAACGAAAAAGAAAAAGAAGTATACCTATTGAATAGTTGCACATTGATGAATGAAAATGTCTGAGAGAAAATCTTTTGAACCAGAATCGGAGGCACCTAAAAGTAACAAAATATAAGCTTACATAAAAGTGCACCAAATTTCATGTGGTAGAGTATAATAAATGGGACATGAAGTGACATACAAAATTTTCTTTCAGAGTACAGAGAAGAGTGTTCAAGCACTCAATGATGCTCTGCCAATGACCCAAAGGAGAATCCTTGCCAAAGGACTTTCCAGATCGCAGTACGCTTCCTTTAGATGTTCTCGGAGCCTAAAGTGCGTATGAATATGTCAGTAATGGTTAAATTATAAATTAGGGTACAAGTAACATATTTAAAACAAATACAAACATCTCTGGCAACAATGACAAATGTTGCAAAAGAAAAGGTAAAAGCTAAAAAATAATCTTGGCCACCAGAGGACTTATGGCAACCAGATTAGGATTCCAATGCCTACAATACTCAGCAACTCACAGAGTTCTCTCAGGAAAAAGAGAGTATATACACATAAAACAAACAACATTTTACAAAGAAAAAAGATAAGGGGAAAAGATTCCAGTGAAGCATAGTTTTTGAATGAATATCCCTCTTCCAATTCTGAGCAAATTTGGCTAAAGGCCTAAATGCTATGAATCAGTGGAATCGCCTACAAAATAGCAAACTGCATCCAACTTTACACTTCACCATAAAACCACTGAACTAGTGAGTTGATTTTCCATGGTGATATGCATTTTTAGCCATTCCAACTCAAAATATGATTTCAACCAAAACAAAAACTCAAAATATGATAAAATTCTATCTAGCAATTGTATAATCAAACTACATGCGAAAGGTTACAACAATTGCATTCTTCTTTTATAAGTGCTATATAGTCAAAGAGTACAATACGATCGATTCTCATCTACAACAATCTTTAACTAGCTGCATTGCCTGATAATTAGTTTTTTTTTTTATCTCCTCCCCATCCGAATAAAACGGAAGAGGAATTACTTTTTAATGAAGAGAGACCAGCGAAGAAATCTTCGGTGTCATAATAAACTTTGGTCATAAGGGAAATATATGAACGGGCAAGGAATATCTTTTCAAAAAGAGTAAAAACTGTGAAGCAGTTAATTATTTCTGCAGGGAAATAACATAGAAAAGCAAGCATACAGCAATGGAAGCCAGCCAGTACCATGTATATGGGACCATCTTGCCTTAAATAAGATTTACATTGGAACAGGGAAGTCATTTGGATATACCTGGATACAGAGGGAAAGCAAAGACCCAAGGTCTTTCTTCAAGTTGTCTCTAATAATTCCGTAAATTTTCTCCACGTAAGCTGTGAGCTGTTGCTTAAAAAGCAAAGCTGGGTATTTCGCCTCGACTTGGCGCACTGTTGCAGCTGCCGCAGCAGCGGCAAGGTTTGCGGAAGAAGGGGATGAACGAAATCCCTGAGCATAAAACGTCCGAATTTTCAGAATACATGGAGATTCTAGAAAAATATGCATCGCAAGTTATATGCTACTCTCTAAATCAATCAGTTAACTGAGTGTTTGGAATCCCACACGTACCATGGTCATCCTCCCAAACAATGAAGTTGGAGGGGTAGGCTTCCGATGTGGGGTCGAACCGCTAGATCCAGCGGCCTTCAGACTTCGTTGGAGCAAGAACAACAGTGTGGATGTATTTGATAACCAATAAGCCATATGATCATTGCTATCTTCACTCTGCCAGTTAAAAAAAAGAAACACATTGTCGCTGTCTTAATTTCTAAAAATTCCTGAAGATGAAAACGAAAAACCAATGAAAGCAGACAGTCTAACATAATCGCAATTTGAAACTAATGATATATCTCCAGAAGTTTCTTTAAACAATAAATTAACGAAAAATACAGAGAATGACCTTCAATTAGCAATTTCTTTGTACATAATAAATATGAATTACATAAAACATTAGTCAAAGCATCTTGTTATTTCTTTCTTTCATAGCGGGTTTCCATCAACTTATACTCCAACTTGTGTATAATTTTTTATTTCGTCAGAACTATCTGTGATTTAAAATATATAGGTCCTAAATCATATCACTTTCTACACTTATATATCTACATCGATGATAACAGTTTAAACTTAAAAGTTGACTTAAAAATAATAAACAACTAATATGAGCAAAGAATTCAGCTAACTGGACAATAGACAGAATCACCAGCCCAACTTACTCAATAAAGCAAACAAGAAGCAAGTCAATGAATATCAATGGAACTGGTGAAAACAGCATTGAATGAAGCTAGCATAGTACTAATTGCATCTTCTAGTAAACATATAGGGTATGCATCAGATGTAACTTCCAACATAACCAGATGAAGTAGTGTTTCTATAACATTTCCAAAGTACATTAGACAGGCTCGGATAGATACTCTTATGCTATCTTGATTGCCTTGGGATTCTCATTACTGGGATTGAGTTATGGATGATTTTATTTGGATTACCTCAATTGCAGAACCAATCATCTGAATGAGTCGATCAAATACGCTAGTCCTTTCAGCTTCAAAGGACTTCCAGTGGAGAAGAGACTTATAAATTGTAAATGCTGCTATAGGCTTCCCATGGCTGAAGCCAATGCTCTTCACAACACAGTTAATAAGAGCATCGATGTTCTCCTACAAATTCAGGATATTAAATCAGCAAAAATGAAACAAAGGCTTACCAGGAAGAAAAAAGTTGAAGAAAAGGCATGCCCTGATTTACGCAGGAACATACCTGTTGGCGTTCAATATGGGATCTCCTAAATTTGCTGTCGGATTCTGTACCATACTTCCTCACAGGTGTTGCACTCTGTGGTTCCTGCTTATAAAGATTTTGCAAACAGATACATCAAAGTGAGATACAGTAATGTACATCCAGAACGAGTAGAGATGGTAAAGTTGAGCTTTATTACATTTGTTCTATTCTCCTCAATTACAGGGTGACCATTTTCCAATATCTGCGAGAGTTAAAGATCACAGTGTGAGGGAGGGAGGGAGAGAATCGCAATGCATAAAACTTTGTAAATGCATGTTTACCTGAGATAATGTCATTGGTGAGTTCTCCGACAGCTTTTTCACAGGTGAGTTTAGCAATGTTTGTTGCCGAAGTATTTGGTTCTCAGATTCCATGTCAGAGATCTTCTCGACAAGCCTTCAGATAGGAAGAAAAAAACATTTTGACATGAGAACTAAGGAGAAATCCAAAAGAGGAAAAAGAAGAAAACTGGAAACCAATAGACTGGTTTAGCATTGCATTATCCATTTTTAGTATGGATAGTAACCATAGCAAGCAAGAATAAAATAACCTTTGCATATCCGTCTTCATCTTCATTATCTTTGACTCGGCCTCCAGAGCTTGCTTCAGTCTTTCTTCACTAATCCTTTTTGTCTCCTCATACTTTTTCTCAGTATCATCAATTTTATTTTCCAGAGAATTGACCAAACCCTGCAATTAATAGAAAAAGGCAATTCCCAATATAAAGATAGGACCTCCATTCAAGCATATTAACATTTTATAACTCTTGTAAGTAGATGATGGTGAAGATACAGATACTGCTCCAACTATCTTACCTTGAGTTTTTCGTTTTCACTCGAAAGCTTCTCCATCATGGTATGATCAATGACTGGAACCTCCTGTATAACAGGGACTATCTCTGCTGCTCTTTTTGCAGCTTCCTGTTCCCTTAAAAGCAAATCTTTGGTTTGCTTGAATTGAAGTTGTATGTCATTCAAAGCAGACTGTAGTTTTGCATTTTCTTGATTCTTTGTCTCTTCTAAATCAGCCTGCAAAATTTAGCAAAACGAATAAGAAATTAGAACTTATACGATATGTATACATTACACAAATCCTTGCCTGAGAAACTCATTACTGCTTCTCAACAAATTTCTCTGATTCTAAGCCACAAAGCAACAAGATATGAAAGTTTCTGAATGAAGCAATAAAAAACTAGCCAGCTATCAAGTAACTTTTCAATGACTAAAACTCACAGAAATAATTAAGTTCTTTCAGTTGCCTCATGCTAAATAAATTGCCAAATCCAACCAAGGTTATGAGATGCCTCTTATATTTGTCCAAGGCCTTAATCTTGCATGCATTCAAAACGAGACAGCCAAACCTAGTCCTTGTACTGTGGAGGAAGACCTCCGACCATAGATCAGCACATGTATAGCCTTGCTCTCCACGCAAATGAAACAGCAATAACACTATCGGACCATAATTTCAACAAATAAAATCTAAAGTTAAAAGCTATACCATAGCTGACAGAGACCATAAAGCATACAATGCCATGGAACTTACCCTCATGCGTTTCTCCAGTTGTAATCTCCACGTAAGCTCTTCCACTTGCTTTTCTAACTTATTTTTGGCGGCTTGAAGAGCTCCTGTTTCCCTGGCAGCCTGTTTAAATACAGAGAAAGAACCTATTACTAAATTGAAAAGAACGGGCATGGTCTCCAAATTTTTCAAAAAAGACCACACAGCTCGAAAAGAAACATAGTCAAGGAATGCATGGCAACTTTAATTGTTTATCAAAATTTCCACCCTGAAAATGAGTCCAAGAATTTGACAAGTCAAACATACAATGGTGATAGTAGAACAAGCAAGTCACTAGGTCATTATTTGGCACACTTTTCACTAGCCCTGATGATTTATTTTCCTTCACAAACCACCATTATATCCATGGCTGCCTGTCTCCTTCATCCAACTTCCAACATCAGATTTTCCTAGTAATTCAATGTACCTTTTTTCCTGAAAAATTGCACTTACGACACTGCATCGATATTCTTTTTGTGGACAATTGGAAAGAATTAAATTGATATCAAGACTTATACAACAGATATTATAATCAGAGAACAAGTCTAACTGAAGTTCCACTAAAAATATATCAAACGATCCGGAAAAGGTCGTAAGATGAAAGAAAACAAATCACCATCTTAAGGTTCCGCAGTTCTTTACGAGCAACTCTCCCTCTCCATGCACACTGAGTTGTAATTGCTGCTTTTTTAGTATCCAAATATTGGACCCGTGCCAAGTATCTGCGACAATGACTCTGGAAAAACAACAGAGAGAGATTATTCCAAAGTGATATCAAACAGAAAAGAGATGGATGGCATACTATAAAGATCAGCATGTTAAGCAAAAGAATGATGATAGTATTATGTAAAACCTTTCACAAGGAAAACAGATGACATGAACATTAGCAAAGAGAAAGATTGCTTCGAACTCCTTAGATTGCAAAGCACTCTAGGTGAAAGATGGACACCTACCTGAATAACGATAGCAGCTTTGATTTGCTTTCTCAGTCGTAGCTCACATCGAGCAGCCATCCCACGTAAGCCTGTCTGTATACATATGGCTGATGAATACAAGTCCTTGTATGCTTTTCTAGCAATATGCATACGCAAATCTTTCTGAATCCTGAGGCAGGCAGCTTCACACCGCATGCTCTCATATGCTTGACGTGCAAGTTGTCCTGAAATTGGCAAAAGAAGAACCTTCAGGCATCTATACATAACCAGTTCCCATGTTTAGTATGTGAAATGACGGAAATACAGATCCCACAAAGTAAAAGAGACGAGTATGACACCAACTGAGCATATACCTCGGCAAACAGCTTGAATAAGCATAGTAGACTTTCGGATCAAGACAAAACTTCGCCTTGCCAAATAAGAACGCGTTTTTCTCTGAATGATACTTGCCGATCTCCCTAAGACCTCACTCCGACGAGCATCCAATTCTGCCATTTGACCAGTTCTGAGAAATACTTTTGTTTTACCAATCTGCAAATGCAAATTACATCTTAGTTCATGGGACTTTTACCCAGTGCCAAAAACAATCGTTGCAAAAGACACATTGCGTCGCCCCAATAGAAATCGTAAGCAATCTTAATATGGCTGCAAAACGTTCTACATGACTGAGGCCATTGCGTTGTCCTTAAAGAAATCAAAAGTCACAAAAAGACAAATGACCCTCATCAGCCACTCTAATAATTATAATAACTTGTCACGCAAACACATATAAGGCTGCTACATATACCAATTATACATCACGTACGTGGCCTCGACCTTCCTCAGGTTGCCATTCAGCCTCTCTTCTCTAGGTTCCCTAATTTCTCTCTTGACATAACTATATGTACACGAATGCACTCTGAATGACAGAAACTATGCAAAATCACTCAGGAAGCAAATAAACAGGAATCATTTCATCATCTTTTGATATGATTAACTCAGAGGATGCAGCATCTTTGTGCTTAGACAAGATCAGTATGCATATATGTGCTATTTCAATAGAATAAGAAGCACTGGTCACTTCTTACAACTCTTTTGACACAACGCTGAACAAGGCATACATTTGTATAAATAAATAAATTGAACACTAATGATAGATGAGAACATCACATGCTTGTTCATACATGCTGGTATAGATTAAATTGCCAAAAGGTTCCTAAGTTTGGCTAAAAAATCAACAAGTATCCTGTCTTAGGAGAACACCATATAAAGGGAAAAGCCAAGGATGAAAGCAATCATTCCAGCAAAGAATTCTGAAGGGACTATGATCACTTGACAATGAACATAAAGAAACATTCCACTGCGCCATCAAGTTCTGGAAACAATTTTGGATATCTATCTACTCCATACCTGATAGCCCTTTAATCCCACTTTCTCCAAAAGCCTCTCGCAGATGGTAACCTCATCAGAACTGTCACAACTAATGGATCAGTCCAGGAGGTACAGAGATATGGCATAAACGACAAGTTAACAAAAAGATTCAAGTTACCTGCGGTCAAGAACTTCAGGAGCAAGAATCCCAAATCGGTCCACAAATTCAAAAAAGGGCCTTCTTGTTGGATATCCAGCACAACTTATCCTAATGGCCTCCATAACACCCTAAAGTGCAATGGTGAGAGAGAAAAAAAAAGGTCAGAAAGAAGAATAGCAGCAGATTGGTTTGAGGCAACTAAACTTGTGCCGAGGTAACTGAATTCTAGTAAAAGTACTACCCCACAACGCAGTTGCTGTAGAACATTTTTACTCTCAAAAATGGCTGGCTTGAGAAGATTATTTGGCTTCACACATCGTATATAATGTGGCTCGGTAGCGCTCAAAGTTTCAAGCAATGCTACTAATTGTTGCTGCATGAGTCAATAAGGACACTATTAGTAAGACATAACAAATGATGAAGTCTGCAGTCAGGCATAAGAGATAAAGCAAACATGAACCTTGAATCGAGATCCTATTGATGAGAACTTTGACTGTTTGGAAGACTCCTCAGCCAAAGGCGGAAATAATCCAGAAACAAAAGAACATTGAGAAGCACTCAAGAGCGCTTGATGTTCTGCAATAACATAGTCTTTGTTCTTGTCCAAGAAAAGTTCAGTCTGATAGGTTACCTGCAACATAAGGTCAGCTGTCAATGTCTGTTCTTTAAGTCTGACAATGAATTATCAGTTTTTTCTGCTGATTCTACAACTTGAAGAGCTATCATTCTAATAAACCAAAGAAGAGACCATACTCACATCTCCAGCATAATGACAAATTGTAAAGTCAGTCCGTGACAATTTGGGCTTGCTGAAGCGTTTATGGTTCTTAAATGTCTGGTAAAGCTTCTGAGCAAAGGTTTCATGCGTTGATCTGGGAAACATACTACAAATACAAATTTCGCAAATTCAAACCGCAGAAGAGTCAAAAGATTAAATGAGGATTGCTGGTCTTCCACATTCGCCACATTGATCTATGTTCACAGCACAAAATAAAATGGTTGCAGTGGATATTTTTCCATGATTTTGTACTCACCAGGCTTCATCAAGAAGAGCAATTATGCCACCAGGTTTCTGTAAATGGCAACCAGAAAGAATGTCATGAATAAATAGGAGCAACTGAATTTACTTTGCTTAGAAGTTAAATAAGAAACTGTGCAGCTTTATACAAAGCACTTAGGGAGGATATCCATAAGTATGGTCAAAGAAAAAGCTACTCATATCGAAAACGATAAAACAAATTGTTGAGTCATATTTCCTAGGAACCTTTATGTCTTAGTCCTTTGTAAGCTTTATTGTTTATTCTCACGGTAGAGGTTAAGAATAGAATAGTGATGTGTATTACATCTATTTCTAGATTACTGATGATTCCATCTTTTTAATTGAGTTAATGGTGGAAATACCTTGTGCAATGTTTAACAATGCTGAAGGTACTCCCAGATATCTATGGCCATACAGTTGAAAAGGAAAGAATCTCTTGCCAGATTTCAGCTTGAAAATACTGTCGATATATGTTATTACAACCTGATTCTAGAATTCACAATATATCCAAGGTTCTGCTAGGTGATCATTGTATGCCCATAGCCACTTGTCTCTTTACCTGGCAATATTAACTAAGAGGTATGTAATGTAGTCATAAAGGCAATTTGACTCATAAAATCGGATGATCATAAAGTAATTTTAAGAAAGCAGAGCTAACTCACAGTTGAATAATTTATCTAGTGAACTCGGAGTAAAGTCACAATTTGATTCGGTAAACTTGCCAAACTCGCGAGTCAACTTGTATGAACTTGGTTCTGATTCGACGGGCTATTTTTAATTTGAGGTGCTAGCTCCTCAGACTTTTGGGCTTCTTTAAAGCCCAAAAATTAAGATAAAATTAGCCAGTTGCCAATGAAACACACTTTTATTGATGACAGAGTAGAAGGGAATTTGATTCTCTGGAAAAAACAAGGAATTGAGAAGGAAATGATGAAAGCAAATCCAATCTGCTGTCAGATTAGGGCTCAACAAAAGAGGACCATCTAGGACTCTAGCTTTCTTTCTCAACTGAAACAAACAGAACATCCAGTGTCTCCAAATTACAAATGGAAATGCCACATCATAGCAACTCTGTCAACGGAAATGGAGCTAATGCCGCCAGAAACTGATTTTTTCCTTCTTTTTCCACAACCGAGTTTGAACATAGTTTCAGACTCTCGAATGCAATTTATTCAAAAAATTTGAAATTTTTATTCGCCCTACCACAAGAGTCCAAGAACTTTGCCTCTAACTAGCAAAATTTTCGTGGTTATTTTTTTACATTTTATAGGGAAAAGATAAACTACTATAGGACACCAAGAGGGTCAAGAGTTAAAACTGAAGATAAAATTCATTTGTTGCTTTTTAGTAGTCTAGAGCTTTGCTACCAACTTGCATGTGACTCATTACACATTTTGCGCAAACTTTACAATTGTAAGATTTTACAACCGTACAATTGGATCTTGCGATCCGATTTCATGAGGACCCCACCAATCCTAGATAATAATGCGAGTTTAACTACCTTGGTCTCATGGGTTAAAGAGTATGCTCGCCTCTTGATAAGGGCATCAGACTAAATAAGATTTCATTTCCACTATTTGAAATACTTGTGTCTGTGTCAGCTCGAATTAAGAAGTTGAAAAGAATTCTCTGGTGGACCATTTAAAAAGCATTATTAGGTACTACTTGTTAGTTGTGAGCCAATTATCAATGGGTGTTTGTGGTCTTGGTATTTAGTGTGAAACGATGTCTCAAAAGTCAGAAGACAAGATATTTATAGTGTTTCCACAATTTCCTTTTGATTTTATAGTAGAATGACCTGGCTAAGAATGAGTTGCACACCAACATTGGAACAAATGTCTACAACTCCAGGTAGCTAATACTAGAAGTAAGTTGTTAATTCTTACTGTAAAAATAAGCTAAACTGCACCGGAAAGAAGATTCCTCGTCGTGCCATATACAAGAGTTAGAACTTTCACTTCACAAGATGGTCATCAGACTCATTGCATGTCTGGATGCATAGTTCAACTTCTCAAGAAAAGTAAGCAATTTGAAAAGAAAACTAAAGATTCACCTTAATCGTATTTAGGAACTGAAGTAGGCACCCGGTTAAATTTTAATTGAGACCTGTTTTGCATATGTAGTTGCCCTAGTCACAAACATATGCCAATGCTACTCACCTTTTCTATAAGATCTAGAACATCTTGATTGTCAACAAAATCAATGTAGCTCCAATCAATTTCTTCTTTTGTGTACTCTTCTTGCTCCATTTTGAAAACATGCTGGAAAAAGATGTGAAACCATCAGTAATCTGCTCAATGACAAGTAAATGTACGAGCTAAAAGAAATGAGAAGGATAAGAGAGAAAGTGAAGAAAAACCATGGGAAGAAAACCTGGTTAAAGTGTTGCTGAAGTTTCTCATTTGTCAAATTTATGCAGAATTGCTCAAAGCTGCAAGTCAGACAAATACCCTCCAAAGTTATCTTCACATAGTAGAATTCATTATAAAGTTATACATGCTCCAAAAAACTGTGACATGAGGTCTTAGTAGATATCTACAAGATGAGGCTTTCAACCAACCAAATGCATGGAAAACAACATGATATTTAAATTAAGATGTCATATTCAATTATAATAAATTGGCCTCTGGCTCTTATGATACTTAGTTGAGGAAGCAAGAGTGTAAATGGCCCACAAAAAGGGACTAGTTCCCATAATTGATAATCACCAGCATATATTAGATAAGCACCTGTTTGTCTTAAAGCTCTCGAACCCATATATATCGAGCACCCCAATCAAAGACTTGGAGTCAGGATCTTGACCAATGGAATTATTGATCTTATCTACAATCCTGTGAATCAAGGAATGAAAAATAGTCATCCAGACTTCACTCCATTTCAACAAGCACCAAATACTAAAAAGAAAAAGGAAGAAACACTGAATACAAATAAAACAATGAAAACCAAAACAAAATTTCAAAGTTCATAATCTCAAAGGATGCTTCAGAAACTCACCAGTCAAATAACCTTGAGTACACAATTTTTGCCAGAGCATCTCTTTGGCCAGCTGCAGAATCTGGATCCACAAACTTTGTTATGGTTTCATCACGAGTTACAATTACACGCTTGCAAAGCGAATCCTCCAGTGCCTTTGTATCACACCTGAAAAGACGTCACACTTAGGAAGCTGCAATTTTTTTTGTATCAGAGCATTTAAAGTGTAGACAGGATAGCATGTCTAACACTCCTTGAATCAACAAATAAAATGGCGTAATACATTAATAGCTCAGCCGCAGTTTTCAAATGGAACCAAGACTTTTCATCCTTGGGCGTTGAGGAATCTATTTCTTTTCCCTTCACAAATTCAATGTTCCCGAGGTGAAGAATTGCAGCCACCACTCGAAATATTCCATCCTGAAAAGACACAAATCAATGAAAAGAGCCAAAGAGGTATGTGCTTCAAAGGATCACTTATGACTTCCCTCATATACCTGCTCGTGAGAACTTATCCCAACAATATCCATTGCTCTCCTAGTCGCAATGTATTCCTTCGAATCATCAACACCATCCAATGCAAAACAGTTTGATTGATTCAAATAATGAAATGTTCTTGGGTGTCCTAGCTTGAACCTCTGAATATCCTGTGAAAAAAAAATGAACTATGAGAATCTTCAAAGAATCAAAATCTTTTAAGAGCTCATTAAATGAGGAAACAAACCATCTCTAATCACAAACTTTTTCAGACAGAGATAGCACGAAATGTTCAGTATGCCCTTCAATACTTTTTCTGAGAAATCCATAAATAAAGTCACTCTTACTGCAAGTAGTGGAGTATATGGAAAAGTACAGTTATGCATGAAGAAATACCAAAACAAGAAACAAGAGATGATGACACATCTTTGTAGCATTGATATTTAAGAAGTAACAAAGAAAGTACATAGCCCAATAAATTCAACTTGATGAATGGTCACAAAAGCGAGATTCAATTGAAACTGAGATTCTCCCCCTTCCACTAGGGCCAAAAATTATGTTTTTAGCCAACTCATGGGCATGACATCACGCTAAGCAAACATATACCGCAATCCCAAAGTCCAGACAAAAAGCCAACTACTATAGTCCTGATTCCTGAAGTAATGGCTAAAAAGGAAGCAGAATAGGACGATGATGGAAAAACAGATAAGAGGGTCTCAGATTAACGCTAGATGTTGTCAAAGACCCTAATATAAATTGAATTTCCATGTGGAACTCAGAGAAGTTAGCCCACACCAAATTCAACAAGCCACACCGTTTGGGTGCACTTGAGTGACGAAATCTTGAGTTCAGTGATAAGTTCACTCAATAAAAATGAAAATTTGCCCAAAAAAAAGTACATGGCTCATATTAAACTCCTACTGACCAATCTTAATTAAAGGTTCATGAGAAGAAATTGATCTCATATTGAAACATGAAAGGGTATACGGAGATTATATTTCATTACAAACCTGTCTGTTCATATCTACAGAGAACAGAACATAATATATAGCCATAATATATTGCAGTCAATTTAACGTCTTTAGAAAGAACAAACCATCCGTTATTCTAGTATAATATAGTTTTGTCCTTCTCATCTCTTCTACAAAAGTCGTGCACTTCCATGGCATGCTTTTCTTTGGTAGTATAAACATAAGAGGATGAGGGCTTTGTCTAAACATCTTGAAAGAATGCTTGATTGGAAATCTAGATTCTTACCTCCTGAGGTGCAGCACAAAGCATATAGAAACAGTGATAGTTTCTCTCAGGATCAGAGATCTGACAAACACGTGACCTTTCCAACAAATAAGTTCTGACAGCAGCTCCAGATATCCGTCCCCTTTGGTCAAACTGAATCTCCACAAACTTACCGAATCGACTGAAAGATTTAGCAAACGGACAAGATGAGATCAACCGGATGAGGTAGCAAAGGATCTGAGCATATGCGGAAATATTTTATGTCCATACACAAAGATAATCGCACCTTGAGTTGTTGTTCCTCACGGTCTTAGCGTTACCAAATGCTTCTAGTACAGGATTAGACTGCAAGATTGCAGTATTGTAAGTGCCTGCCGTGCAAGTCACGTAATTGTAGAGGTAAAATACTCAATATTCTTTGGTGTACTTAGTTACCTCCAAAACTTGCTGCTCAACGGTTCTGCCCTCTGCAGCAGCTCGCCCACCCATATAAGCAAGATAACGCATAAGGAGCTTTGTGCTCTCAGTTTTACCTGCCCCACTTTCACCACTAACCAAGATTGCCTGACTTTTCCCTTCATTGATCATGAGTCTACACATATCAATAGCACTCCCATTACATATCAAGTAAAAGGTCATAGAAAGTCAAATATTAAGATTAAGCAGCACCTGTATGCAGCATCTGCTACAGCAAAAGGATGTGGACTCAGCTCCCCAAAAGCTGCCCCTTTATATTGAGCCATCATATGGCTATCGTAGAGATGAGGTAATTTCGTAAAAGGGTTTACAGCAATCAGTATATTTCCTGTGTAAGTCTGAAACCATCATACGATGCATTTAACGTTAGCATGCTAAACCATGATTAAAAATAACAGTATCTTCGGTCAGCACCATCTGTTGGACTCCTCCAAAACCAGTCCAGGAAAAGGAGACAACTTAAAGACAAGACAACTCACGTATATTTCATTCATGTCGTATCGTGACCTCAAATTCTGCAGAACTCCCGGCTCGTGCAAATAAGCCAGCTTTGTCATATCATCCACTCCACATGGTGGTGCTTCAGTATCTTTAGCATAGACATCTGAGGCCTTCACATGGACCTGTAACTCCACCGAAAGAAGAAATCCACAAAAAAAAAGCTCAGATGTCAGGAGATTTGAGAGAGAAGTTTCTACAATAAGAAGAAAGATATATTCCATCGAATCTCTGAGCTTGAGTCTACTCAAGTTGCTATACATGGCATTAACACATACAAGCAATTTCTTCAGCAGAGTGCTGAAGGGCTTTTCAAGGTAACAGAAGAAAGAGAGAAATTTTCAGAATCACATTATTTGGCAAATTCCATACCGTCTTGCCCGATGAGCAGAGGACTTTCAGCTCCGGACCTTTAACTTCCACAACTTCACCATCTATCCAAGCCTCATTAGGATCTTCCAGCCAAACAAAAGATCCAACAGTAGCCTGCATACAGACAGAAAAAAAATTAGGAAGTCTGATGATATTGGTTCGCTGAAGCCTCTATCGATTAAGGCATTGTGTCCCACATCAACACAGAAGAGCTGGCGCAAGGTTAAAGCATACAAATTACAGGTCCCAAATAGAACCCCAATTAAAGGTAACATCAGAGTTTTAATGAACTTAAAGCACATCCAAAATAGAACAGACACAGACAAAATCTAGACTAGGATTTACAGAATTTGTTATGATTCAGAAAAATGAGAAGGAGTCGGTTATAACTGGATGGAATGTGCACTTCGGAAAAAGTTCAACTTCGTAAAACGCCACTCTAGGCTAAGAAAACGTTGATAACCAGGTTTTTATGTTTGGAAAAACTATTTCCTCCAAAGTTGAACTTTGCTTGCAGTAGAAGGCATGATCTCTACTTGCATCTACATGTGAAACAGACATAGAGACCAGCAACCAGGTTTTTATGTTTGGAAAAACTATTTCCTCCAAAATTGAACTTCGCTTGCAGTAGAAGGCATGATCTCTACTTGCATCCACGCGCGAAACAGACATGGAGGCCGGCCAGCATAAAAGCAACTTACAGATATCAGCCCTTCCAAGTACGTCTGGATAGCAATGTATTTACACAATTGGAGTAAGAGATACTAAAGATTCAAATGCTTTGTGCTAAAACTGGATTTCAACAAGTGAGCAATTTTCCAGAGAATGCCGCTTAAGCTACAGAGAATATAGCGTGGCAATAAGGCTAGGAATGCTTTGAGGACAGGGTGCTGGGCAGTTACACACCAATATGCACGGATAATGACTGGTAGAGATGAGACTACTTGGTTGGATATAGAAACACACAAGAAAGGATAGGATTAGACATGAAATTATTTAAGGAAAAATTGGCGTGGCTCCAATGAGGGTAAGCCATAAGCTCATTTGAGATCGTGTGGTCATGTTAACTTAAGGCCTTTAACTCCAGCATAATCAGGGGATGGAGACTCGAGCTAGAAGGGGCAGGAGAAGTCTTAGAAAGACATCAAATAAGACGACGAGGAAAGATATAGAGCACCTAGAGCTTACAAGAGACTGAATAGAAATACGAACCCATTGCCGTAACTGGATTCGTATAGCCAACCCCACTTCATGGGATAAGGCTTGGTTTTGTTGTTATTGTTTTTTATGAGCAAAGTTTTCTGGAGATTCAGTCTAGTAGAGAAGTACATACGATTTTTCTCTGTTTTGCTCTGTGAAATGAAAAACAGGATAAACAAGCCATGTTATTAAAAAAAAAAAAACTAAAAAGAATAGAATGCCATAGTGTTTCAATTGAGCCCGTCATCCATTAATCTCATTTCCCTAGAGAACTCATGTCGAACTTTGCCAATCTGCACCTTCCAGTCGAGCCCAAATTCAAGTCAAACCCCAGCTTCCACTAAAAGAATTTATGGTATCTTCAATCTTTCCGGTTTCATCAACTGATGAATCAAGTGCACTTTCATTGCCCGGTCTCAGCCCAAAAATGCGGCTGAAACCGGCGAAGGAAGCGCCCCTACAATCACCCAAAATGTCCAACGCAGAACCCATTCTGATCGACAAAACGATTACCACTCCACCACAGCCTAGTCAAAATTCAAATCTTTCTCACGCAAACCACTCTTTCGCCATCGTCAAAACACCGAACACCACATTCAGATTCGCGAGCTACCGCAATGTAGAACGCCATATTCCGGGAAACACGCGGAAACACGATACCACGGGCAGTTTGCATTGCCCGAAAGATTCAGCTAAACAGACGGATCACTCCACGGACTGAAGAAACGAGTCAACAACCAAATCCTGCCGAAATCTACTCGCCCAGGAAGAAGGAAAAAAAAAAGGGCGAAAAAACAGAACCCGAAAGTCCCGCAAAAGACAGCCGAGACGAAACCAGAAAAGCCAGCGAAGGATCAGACAGCGTGCTCACCATTTCTTCCCTCCCTCGATCTAGTCAGAAACTTCCCCTTCCCTCCCTCGATCTGCTCCCAGTCCTCCAGAACAAGATCATCCAATCGACTACTCCCTTCGCTTCCGCGCAGCCAGCTTCCGATTCACTCCTCCGAAGGAAGACAGATCACTTCACAAATCGAAGAGCTTCGAGCTCCTCGAACGGAGAGACGGAGAGAGAATATCGGATTCGCAGAGATTGTTTCGGAGCTGTTTTCGCGTGCGCTTCTTCGCTCTTCCTCTGCCTCCTCTCTTCCTTTCCTTAAACTCTTCGAAAGACTTTTTTTTTTTTATTCCTGCGGTTGCTTCTTCCTCTTCCTCTTCTGCTTCTTCTTCTTCTTCTGCTGCTGCGCCTTCCCTCCTCCCCACCTCGTTGGGCTTTTCGTCAAAAGCCGAGGCTCGAGAGTTTAATTAATTACCATAAGCTCGTGATTAGGGGCCTGATTAAGGCGAATTGAAACGCCCCTCGCGTGATTTTATTCGGTGAAATTCCGAGATTGGCCTCGGTGCGCGTGCGGTCGGGACAGCTCACACGCGGTCGGATCGGATCCCCGCCCCGCCCCGCCCCGCCCCGCGAGTTACTGCCCGAATCTAGGGGAAAACTCCAAATCTCGGAGGCGGTAGATAATGGTCGGAATTTATTTACATGCTCCTTTTTTTTTGGCTTTTAACCCCCGGGAAAAAAAGGAAAAATAATTAATCTCGCACTCGGAAATTGAATTTCACGAGATGCCATAAAGACGATGTTTCCTTGAGTAAGAAATTCTTTTTTCCTTTTCTTTTCTTTATTATTGTTCTGTTTCCTCGAAGCCATTTGAATTTTTTTCGAAGGAATTTGTACTTTGATCGTCAAGCAACGAGATGGGGTTAAGGAATTTCGACCACTGCAACCCTCCCCGGGACATATAGTCGGTCGTGTGTTACAGATGACACTGGGTAAATTATAAGGTCGAAAAGGCTAAATCGAAAAGAGGTGGTAAGATCATAGAATTTTCTTCTGCTTCGTCCTCGTTTTTTTGTGAAATGCTAGAGTTACGATGAACGTGATTCTCACTTTTGATGACGTCAACGGAATGAGGAACCCAAATCGTAAGTTCGTTCAACCGAAAAATGAAGTAACATCAGTAGAGCTATTGAGTTAAGTTGATTTAGCGTCGTTTAAGGTACGATGACAGATTGTGATCTTAACAAAAGATAAATCTTTGACTCTACAATTGAGCTCAATTTGAGCTTAAATTTAACTCGACTCGCTTGCGATAAAGCTAAATTATATTATGTAGTGCAAGCATCAACTTGTGTTCTCATAAATAAATAAAAATACATTTTCATTTTTCATGTTCCTTACTTTTACGGATGCATCAACATATTGTCTAGGTACCTATTTGCTTACTTTCAAAAGCAACGTTTTACTTTCCAGCAAGCAAAAAATTATGGAATATGATATGCGAATTAGCGTGTCACTATTTGTATATTGTGAAAATTCCAGATGTGTTAAGTGAAGAAAAAGTCAAAGTACATTGACCCCAGGATTAAAATTAAGCAAAAGCAAAATACAAAAGTCTATATAGCTTTAGATTCATGAACTTTGGGAGAAAAAATGAATTCTTGAGATGATTGAGTTGAGTATTTTGATTGAAACTTAGATTTTGCTAAGTAATTCCAGCTCGATTCAAACTTTTCTCAAACTGAGTAGGCTCGACTAATTAATAAGTTGCGCTTGAGAAATAACCACTAAGTTAGAGTTGGATTTGCTACATACCATCTCATACCCTAATGCACATAAATCACTTTGGCCACACAATTGTTTCTGGCTACGAAACATGCATAAAAACCATCATCGGCTCATAAAAAGATTGGTATTTACGTAACGCAGCACATCATCTTGAAAATGTAGGATGGTCCAGATTAAGATGTCGGATATTCGTTAACGTCAAAGCTCATAGATAATAGGATCAAATTGACATCGGGGCACAGCTTTATTTATGCAAAGAGGGAAAACTCTAATCTTTTAGCAAGGTTAATCAAAGCCATTACTAACATCATGGCGTGTCGAGTCCGCGGGGTTGAGTCTACCCCCATCTTTGGTCATGCATAGAAAGTTTCGTGATATGAAGGGGGTGGTGGGCCTAACACTGCTCTGAAGATGCTAACGGAGTTGGTGGGGCTGTTGGTTGGTAGTGCCTCGGTTCCCTCGACCGGAGACCTAGCTCAATCAAATTAGTGACATTCTCCTTTTTGTCACCAGTCGATAACTTCCTTAACTAGGTAACAGGGCTAAGATTGAAGCTCGATGGTCAATGTCCGAGACCATCTCTTCTGGATTCAAATAACTCAAATTCGGCATTCATTTCTAACCAATATATATATATATATATATCGGCATTCGTAAATATGATACCTAATAATCATATCGAGATATGCATCACTTCATCCGCAGCCATTTCTATTTCTAGTTTTTACAAATTAAACTCGTCATGGTGTCTTGTACGTTATAAAAAAGCTACAAAGAAAACTTTAAATTATGCCTATTATGACATATTTACTTTAAACTTTTTTTATGACATAAAAAAGTCCGAACTATACCGATCGCGACACATTTACCCTGAATTTGTATATTGTGCTATAAAAAAACCAAAAACTCGTACCTATACGACGCATTTACCATCCGTCAAGGTTTCGTTAAATGATTTTTCAGCTAAAATAATGTCGTTTTTATTTCACTCAAGCCACATGAGCGTCATGTCAATACCGTTTGCTCTCTTGCGTCCACGCAGGCAGATTTGTAACGGTTCACATTGACAGATATTTGACGAAGGATAACTGTTTCACACGGATACAAGTTTTTGGATTTTTTAAGTTATGAAAAGAAATTTAAGGTAAATATATCGGGTATGATTTAAGGTTTTTGGTGTTTTTTCGCTCTCGGCGAAAAAAATACCGTAAACCTCTGAGATTCAAAATGGGATAATAATAGCATCGCTATCAAATCGAATTAGACCGTCGTACGAACCCGCTCGGCATTTTCAAAA